CTCGGTATAGTAATCCTGTTGGGTGACTTTAATACCCAAGTGGGTCATGACACTGGCACCTGATTGGAAGGCACGAGCTAGATCAGCTGGCTCTTACAGAGCTCTTACAGAGCCAGCTGCTAGACTTCTGTGCAGCCCATGGGCCTGTAGTTACCAACACACTGTTCTGGCATTGGCGCATCCACACAACATCATGGATGCACGCTGAGTCCAAGCAAGAAGATCTGTTGGACTATATAGTTATGAAACAGCAGATGCGAGGGCATGTCCTTGACACCAGGACCTAGCGTGGAGCTGATCTGCCCACTGACCATCAGCTTATCATCTGTAAGATGCGCCTGCTATTCTTCCACTCTGGTGGTGGGTGTCCATCTAGGACCCATTCAAACCCACAGTGGCCTCGTTTCAGCTAGCTGATGAAAGTTGCAAGTGAGAATTTCATCATCACTTGCAGCTGTGGCTGGAAACGCCCCCCCCCCCTCCTGATGTTGAGGGGAAATGGGCGAGGTATAGGACTATGGCTCATGCAGTCAAAACCTCCCAGAGACCCTGGCTGACGGTGGAGGTGTTCCGGCTGGCTGGGAAAAAGCGACAGGCCCACTCTCACCATCTACAGGATCCCACATCGATAAATGAGGAGGCTTACTGCAGCCTTAGCTTGAAGGTTTGGAGAGCCGTGCGGCACTAGTGGTCGTGGGTTGCTGAGGAGATGGAAGCTGCCTCTAGCCTGCGATCACAAAGTACTCTTTAATTCCATTAAAAAAAGTTACTTGCAGTGACACATTTACTCGGTTTTTTGGGTTGAACAAGATTTGGAATAGGTGAGAAAGCCTTTGATGTTTAAAAAATATATCTGAAGCAGAAGATTAGTGCTAGATATAGCAGTCATATTTGCAAATGTGATTTGTAACTTGGATCCTTACAAGTGTAGTATCGGTAGTTCAATGTTAACGTGCCATAGTATTGAGACTTTTGTGTGCTGTTATCTTGGTGTGGTCTGGGACTGTTTTTGTGAAAAAGATAATAGATAATCGGATACATCCTCCTCCAGTCTAAATAAATATTCTGATGATTCTGTACTTAACCCTTGTGACGTCATGAATTGCCCTTTTCATGTTAAATATGTCCATAATAAAATGTATTTGCTGTGAGATCGTTAAACCCGCCACCACCCGACACAGCCAATTAGTAAGGCTGGTCACGTGAACAAAATATGCTAATTCGTTACTATTCATAATAAAGGGTTTTGGGTTAGATCGCGTTATTTATAAATGTGTCGTAACCCTCCACCACCTGACACGGCCAATCAGCAAAAAAAGTGTCACGTTGACAAAAGACAAATAATTCACTACTTTAGCCCACCGGTGTGTTGAAGAGTGAATCCACAACATTTACAGTTTGAGTACGACGTTTCGCTGGTAATTACATCCAGCATCATCGGGCAATTCGCCAGAAGTTACTTGGTGAATTGCCCGATGATGCTGGATGTATTTACCAGCGAAACGTCGTACTCAAACTGTAAATGTTGTGGATTCACTCTTCAACACACCGGTGGGCTAAAGTAGTGAATTATTTGTCTTTTGTCAACGTGACACTTTTTTTGCTGATTGACCGTGTCGGGTTGTGGAGGGTTACGACACATTTATAAATAACGCGATCTAACCCAAAAACCTTTATTATGAATAATATTGGTCGCGAAAGCCTACGTGTTAAACTAATTCGTTACTAGTTCAGCATACTGGTGTGTTGGAGAGTAAACCCACAACATTTACAATACAAGTATGACGTTTTGCCGGTAATTACAACCAGTATCATCAGGTGACAGCCAGAGTTGTGGAGAAATACTGTTTCGGTCCTGAATAGAGGGATAAATGTGATGTCACTTGTGGGCCAATCAGGTACGAAGACCAGAGGGGGATTAATGTATGCATATAAATTACTATGGATAACCATTAACGATTGGGTTATTATATTCTTAGTTTTTTACTGCAGTCACGAAAGCTTTAAATCAAGATTGGGTTATTCTTAGTGTAGTGTCTTTAAAAATTACTCACACCAACACGAATTAACAAATCACCTGCTTACACTTTATTAATCCTGTTCTCGTGCCAGTTGTAGGCACTCCTATATTTATCTTTACAGTCACATACACTTGACTTCTCCCTGCTCTCATCTATTTTGCACCTCACCTATCCTGCACTCAGCAACTCTGCACTCAGCGACTCTGCACACAGCAACCCTGCCCTCAGTGACTCTTAGAACTCTGCATCTCCACCGCTGCCCTCACCTACGTTGCCTCATACCTGCTCACCCGTCTGTCCTGGGCGGGGGGTTCAGCCAAGACCCGCCCGGCGACGGTGTGAGGGTTGAGGTTTCGTTGACGGCTTGAGCGGCAGCAGCGAGATGTCTTCACTCTTTGTTCTCGGGCAATCCTCCTCTACTCACGCACACTCCCGCTTATATATCCCTCCTCATTCCGAGTCCTCACATGCTCCCCCTTAAGCCGCCGCCGGCAAGGCGCCTGTTGCCCTCATTAATCCCTTATCATCACCCCCCATCTCCCGTTTCCCTGACACCGACCTCCTGCCTCAACGTACCCGCCTGCTCGCCCTTGTTTGCACCCGCTTCGCCCCTTAATTACTGGAGGTTTGTTGGTGCAAACCTCATGTTGCAACACACACACCTGTTCATCCTCAGTTGCACCCGCTTAACTGCGCGCACCACGTATATCTCTCTACAATAGGGTAATGAACATACATAATGTACATGCACAACGCTCATGCATAATTTTTATTGGGTGCAATTGTGAACAACAGCCATATCAGACATTAATACATCTAATCAGCATAATCATTGGTTCACTGCAGCTCAAAGAATCAGTCTTAAAAGGTAGGTGGTGAAGTTAGTAAATGTCGGTGTGCTCAGCATTTGGAGGCCTGGAGACCGGAATTGGTTGCTCACAGTAATCACCATCGACCTATGTTGACCTTTACGGGCATGCAGTTAAACAGTGTATTACTTGGTAAGACACTTCCAAGCAGCACTAAGCCTGTAGCTATCAGAACAGATACATTTATTTTTTATTTCTCTCAATTTCTAAATATTCTCTAATTATCCTTGGCCAGGAGTAACTAGTTTTTCACAAAACTTCAACAGTATCAAAGTTAATTGAGTGTCCTTGTTGGCACGTGTGTTCTACCACTGCCGACAGTTTATTTGGGACTATTTAATATTCATCTTTGGTTTTTTTCGGTAAAGTCACGTATAAATAAGAAATAATAATAAAATAACATTTCTAATAATAAATGTTATTTTATTAGTTCTTATTTATACGTGACTTTATCGAAAAAAACAAAGATTAATTCCTGCAGTCACGAAAGCTTCGAACCAAGTTTATTTAATATTCCTTTCGTGTTTTATCGTCTCATGCTGATCATTCGTCCTGTCTGACCAACATTTCGTTTGCCACACGACCAATTGGTCCGGTACACACCTTATGTTGATAACTTTGGTAATATATCTTTAATACCAGATATTGGTTTTCGTGTTTTATGTACTTTGCCAAATCTAATTGGGATGTTTTGTTTTAAAAAAATATGGCTAGTTTATCAGTTACACCCACAATGTATGGTATATTTTTTATAGTTTGTATTGCTTGCTCAGTTTCAACGCTTGTGCTATTTGATTTGGTCTGGGCATTCGGTGCCTTCTTTATTTATGCATCATCGTAATCGTTCAATTGCAGCGCTTCTTTAACATGTTTAATCTCACTTCTCAGACTTTCACCATCTGACACTTTCTTAGCCCGATGTATGAGTGTCTTCATAATAAAGGTTTTTGAGTTCGAGCGAGTAAGTATAAATGTGTAGTAACCCTCCAGTACCCGACACAGCCAATTAGTAAGGGATTCGTCACATAAACAAAATGCCAATTAGTTACTACTTCAGCCCACCGGTGTGTTGGAGAGTAAATCAGAATTGTATTGTTTTATTTATTTTTATTGTTTTGTTGTTTCCCTTCAACGTGACTTTACCAAAAGCGCTAAGAATATAACATTTACAATTTGAATATAATGTTTCGCTGGTAATTACATCCAGCATCATGGGGCGATTTTCCAGAATAGTGAAGCAATCCACCTGCTTCCGGTCTTAAATAGAGCAGGACGTCATCACTGAACCCAATCAGGTGCAGAGATTAGAGGCGGAGGAGGAGCGTCTTGATGTGAGAGGATTTCTGTGTGGGGTGATGGTGTGACTGCATTCAGATAGGCGTCAGTGTGCGTTTTCTTTTAGTAAACGCCGTGTTATTTTACCGTTTCGGCTGCGCCCGAGCAGAATATGCAGAAATGGGAGAGTTTTATCAACCTTCACTTCTGTGATGAACTGGATGGATGGGTTTTGCGAGTTGAGATGATTTAGGAATTCATTAAGTGTTTCTTTATCGTGTGGCCAGACCACCAATGTGTCATCCACATATCTAAACCAAAGAGGGTTTTAGTATGCTTGAAGCTATTGATTTTGCTTCATAGTCTACCATGTACAGATTTGCAATCGCATGAGACAAAGGAGAGCCCATTGCTGCTCCTTCCTTTTGTTTATAGAAATTTAGTACTTGAATTACTCTATACTCTGGTAACTAACACAGGTTTGGCCAAAGATATCCCATGACTAGCTAAGCACTGTCTAAAGAACACCTATTTATTAGCATAGAGTTTGGTCAGAAGGCCCAAATGACCTGCACGGTTTGGGGAGGTCCTTATCTAAGAGGTTTAAAACAATATGACTTAAAATGCACCTTAATGATTGTTTTATCTCAGATATGCGTTAATAAATCCTATTTTAATATCTTAACATGACTGTACACTGCAATTAATTTTTCTAGCAAATGCATTGCACTGCACATACCGTATTTATTGCCATAATTACACCTTCCCATCAAGGTTGTGTGCAACAAGAACCTCCTATCAAGATGGTGACCTGATTGGCATGGTTTCATTCCAGGCATCGACTTCAAGATGAAGACGATAGAAGTGGATGGGATTAAAGTGAGAATACAGATCTGGTGAGTGGCGGCCACGCCCACGCGTGTCACATGCCCACGCGTGTCACATGCCCACGCGTGTCACATGCCCACGCGTGTCACATGCCCACGCGTGTCACATGCCCACGCGTGTCACATGCCCACGCGTGTCACATGCCCACGCGTGTCACATGCCCACGCGTGTCACATGCCCACGCGTGTCACATGCCCACGCGTGTCACATGCCCACGCGTGTCACATGCCCACGCGTGTTGGTGGTGAGGGGTCCATTATTGCACAAGGTACAACAAAGTACATGAACCGAGGCAGAAAAACTATAAAGACCAAATGGACACTAAATTTTTATCTTCATCAGTGGGAATACCATTTGCCGAAATTGAGAGTCCGTGCAAGCACATTCTGAGATAAACACATATACAGGCTTATGTTGGATGTTGCCGATGGTCATTTTATCACCAATCCATGTCATGTTTAGTCGAGATGCTGTTTAATTGAATCAAAATATTTATTCAGAATGGAAGAATCCGATGAGCTATAAAGCTCTTATTCACAGATGTCCAGTAGGTGCGGGTCAAAAAGTTACAACACAAAAAATACAAAAACATGATAGGAGTGCAAAGTATAGGAAAGCTAAACAAGTCACTTAAATAAAAATATATGAAGTATAGAAGTACAAACTGCACCTGTGAGCATCTCCACCATGTTTCTGAAGAAAAATGTCTAATGGTCTTTCTTTGGTGCCATTGCAGGGATACGGCAGGCCAGGAGAGGTACCAGACAATCACCAAACAGTATTACCGCAGGGCACAGGTAAAATGACTCCCTTCATTGTTACTCTGTTTCTTTAACAAGTGAAAACCTATTGAATTCATTTCTTCAATGTGGGTGAACTCACAATTTTGTATTGATCGGGGGATGGGTAACGGAACGTTTAATGGAGTAAAATGAACATTGCAGATCAATTGAAATTCATTAAACAGGCTGTGTAATGGAATGAAGAAAAACATTGAACAGAACATATTGCAATGGAATGTTACGAATTTCAATAATGTATTTGTTAAAATAATGTTGTCTTGTTCTAAAAAAAATTAAAGTTACAGGTTATGCATGTCTCATTTGGGATTTTTTTTAAATGCACACAATATATAGCCCTTGAGGTGCAGGAACTATTTTTTCAGAAGACAATCAGCATGGCTTAATTAAACGTGAGGAGCCATAGGTGCTGCTTTGCAACATGGTGTGCTCGGGAAGGAGTGGATTTGTTTTTCGTCCAGAACTATTACAGACAGATTTGTGGCAGCGAGTTAAAGACGGTTTAATGTTCCCTGTGGCTTCTGGGTGGTGGCCATCTCAATTTCCCATCCGCGCAGTTCCACGATTTCAGTCTTACGTTTTGGATGCTTTAAAGATGTTTTTAGTGAATGTATGCACACACGCGCTTAGCATGACTGGCGTGTGCACACAGAGCGGTGATGTATGTATGTTTGTATATGTTTTTACTTCCCCCGCACCTCCGATTAGTGCGGTTGGCTACATACGGTGTGAAACAAGTTCAGCATACGCACATGTGTGTTACATGCTGTCATTTGAATTTTGTGCCATTGTGACGAGTGTGTTGTTTCCCCAGGGCATCTTTTTGGTGTATGACATCACGAGCGAGCGTTCCTTCCAGCACATCTCAAAGTGGGCTGGCGATGTGGATGAGGTGTGGAACTGCACCTATTGTATTTAAATAGTTTATCTCAAGGACCAATTACGGTGTGCAACATACCACAACATTGCATCTAATTGCTAAGTTTGGCTGTCAGAATTGTTCTTTGGCTTACTGCTGAGTGAGCTGAAACATTGATAAATTGTAGCATGAAAACGCGTTGTACACCACGTGATATTTTACTTTCAATGGCTATGGTCGGGTGTTGGAGGATTACACGACATTTGGTTAAATAATGAAATGACCAAACTCAAAAGTCTTTCATGAATGACACTGAAAGAGCAATGGAACATCAAGAGAAAATGTATTCTGGAAAGACATTTGGAGTCCAGCTATATATCGGTCCGCCAACCACTCGTGTATCAAGCTAATGTACTGGGTCCAGTTCGCTTCATGTGAAGACAACATCGGGCCCCTCGCATCACGGGACTGGAGGGGGCAGAGTCCCCCCTTCTGAAGGCTGCTGCTCCCCCCTCTCAATTCGTACAGCAGAGTGAAAATGTCGTAATTGCTCACACGCACACAGACTGATCTGCTGCGGTATCCTTGTTAATTTGCAAGCTTGATTTCATCACACATTGTCTGCACACATTGAAAGGGGCAGCACAAAATAAAAAAACATCGATTGTGCCGTGCCTCCTCTTCCCCCCGCCCATTGAGTGTTTGTGTGGCCCCCTGTTTGTACAATGTCACATGCCTGCTGTTTGGGATTCTGAATAATTGAATTGATTATAGGCGAATTCAATTTGCCAATGTACTCAGCAACATCTGTTTTGTTATTTTCTGTCTCCCTGTAGCCACCTATGGGCTTGGGCCAGTCAATTTTAGGTTGGTGCAGCAATGTTTCAAATGTTTATAATAATGATGATACAGTTGCTGGAGCAAAATGTATATGATTGCACAAATCACGGCGTACCATTTATAACGCACACATGGTCCAACACGACTGCGTATTTGTTTAGACGTATCTTCTTCTTGTCCTTCTTCTCTAACATATAAAAGGCATTCTTTGTCGGTCTGTCTGCGTTCACGCGCTTGTGAGGGATTTTGCCAGGTACCACGCCGTAAGCCCCGTGGTTGGCAAGCGCTATTCCTTTTTCACGTCTGTCACCTTTAAGTTAGTTTAAATGGCGTTTTGGGCGATTTTTGTTTGTGAATATATTTAGTTTTTGAATGATTTCTTTGCGTTCGCCGCTTCTGCAGCGACAACGCAGCAGGCTGCACTTGCGCACAACGCCCACTAGGTTAGCCCCTAGCAGTCCACACGCGCCATCGCGTGCAGTTCTTTATTCGCCTGCACACGCTACAAGGTAAGTCGCACACATTAGTAGTATACGTATTTATAAAATTACACTTTTAACTGCTGACAGGGGTTGCCCCTAGCAACGCACACACGATTGGCACACATTTTAATTCGTGATAGAAATGCACCAAATACACAACGCTGAGGTTAATTCCTCACAGTGTTATGTCCCCCCCCCCCCCCTCACCTACATGCGTGCAGTTACTACTTTAAAGTCCATAGATGTATATGTTATAGTGCTTTCACAGTATTATTCATGGGGGGGGGGGGGGTCGCGGCACAGCCCCCAGCCTGCCAGGGAGGCACCTCGGCCGGCTGGGCAATCTAGGCGAGTACGCAAGGCTCTGCACAGGACTAGGCCTCTCCACGGCAATGTTAGTTACAATTGTATTGCTTCTTTCGCTAATAACTCACGTAGATCGTTTACTATTATGAAACAATTTAGTTTGCAAATATTACTTTAATAATGATTGTGTGTAGACAACTTATATTTCAATATAAATTAGCTCATTATTTTTTTAGTGAGGTGTGTTTTATGAGGCTGAGCCAGTGTACTGGCAGTCTGTCATGTGGCCTGCTGCCTGCTTATTAATTAATGTCAGTGCACTGCCACTCTATTATCTACACTGTTAATATTTATTTTGGCCATTTAGAGTGTATGCCACTGTATAGTCTGTTGCCTGCTTCTTTATCTAACTCAGTGTAGTGCCAGCCTTTCATGTCGACTGTATCCTGCTTTTTCAGCTGCTGACCGTATTGGCAGCTTATTATGTCAACTCTTGTAATGCTTATATCATTGAGTCTGCGTACTGGAGGCCTATAATCTAGCCTGTAGCCTGCTTCTTAACTTACCTGTGTGTACTGCTGCTCTATAATGTCAACTTATTCTCGCTTATATCTTCAATTCATTTCCATTGTTTCGATTGCTCACGTCACGCTATTTAGTGATACGTAGTACTCCGATGCTGATAGCTGTGCCATCATCGGGGATTGCTGTGCACGTCGATGTTTGTGTGTGTGAGTCGATGTGTGTGTGTGCGAGTCGATGTATTTGTCTGTCTTTTTCAAATGTACAACGCCCGATGTGTTTGTGTCAGTCCAAGTGTGCGTGTCAGTCCATGTGTGTGTGTATCAGTCGCTGTGTGTGTGTAATTCCACATGTGTGTGTAAGTCCATACATGTAGGCGTGTCACTCAATGTGTGTGTGTAAGTCAATGTGTGTGCGAGTCGATGTGTGTGTGTAACTCCATGTGTGTGTAACTAAAGTAGATGTCTGTGTGTGAGAGTTCATCTGTGTGCGTGTAGGGCAATGTGTGTGTCAGTCTATGTATGTGTGTGTGTATGTAAGTCGATGTGTGTGCGTGGGTGCATGTATGTGTAAGTCCATGTGTGTGTGTCTTAGTCGATAGGTAAATGTGTGTGTGAGTCCACGTATGTCTGTGTGAGTCGATCTGTGTGTGTGAGTCGCTGGATGTGTGTACGTCGATAAGTGTAACTCCATGTGTGTATCTAAAGTGGATGTCTATGTGTGTGTGTGAGTCCATATGTGTGTGTGTAAGTCGATATATGTGTGTGTCAGTCGATGTGCGTGTGTGTTAGTCGCTGTGTGTGCGTGGCTCCATGTGCGGCTGGGGTTGGCATCGTCCCCCACTCCTGATGTCGAGGGAAATGGGCGAGGTTTAGGACTGTGACTCATGCAGCTGCAATGGCTGCTTTGGGTATGCGGTCCAGACCTCCCCAGAGACCCTGGCTGACAGAGGAGGTGTTCAAGATGGTTGAGAAAAAGCGACAGGCCCACTGTCACCGGCTACAGAATCCCACGTCAGAGAATGAGGAGGCTTACCGCAGCCTTCGCTCGGAGGTTCGGAGAGCCATGAGGCGCTGCAAGGATGGGTGGTGGTCGCGGAGTCTGCCGCAGTGGCCCGCGATCACAAATCTCTATTTAACTCCATCAAAAAAGTAACCTGCAGCGCCACACCTATTACCATCATTAGGGGAAAAAAGGTGATCCAATCTCCGACCCCCAGGAACAGGTTTGCAGATTTGCTGAGCATTTCTGTGAGGTCTTGGGGGAGGGAAAATCCCTCAGCCAGGAAAACATCGTGGCACAAAGTGGGGATAACCCTGCTAAGGCTGCAGTGCCTCAAATATTGGAAGAAGTCACCCCCTGTGAGTGGCTGGCTGAGTTGCCATCTGTTGAGGAAGTACTGAAGGCCATCCGGAGTCTGAGACCAGGAAAAGCACCGGGTAGAGATGATCTCCCAAGAGAAATGCTGAGGGAGGGTGGCGTGTGTGCACAGACTGCCCTATATGACATCATAACAACAGTCTGGACCACTGGATGGGTTCCGCAGGATTGGAAGGATGCCCTGGTGGTCCCCCTCTTTAAGAAGGGGGACCGCACAGACTGTAACAACTACAGGGGCATCTCACTCCTCAGTGTGCCGGGAAAGGTCCTGGCAAGGATTATTCAACATCGCCTTGCCAGGCACGCTGAGGAGAGGCTTGTGGAGCCCCAATGCGGTTTCAGGAAAGGGCGGTCCTGCACAGATGCCATATTTTCTGTCCGTCTGCTACAGCAGAGGTGTAGGGAATTCCAGCAAGACCTACATCTCTGCTTTATTGACCTGGTCAAGGCCTATGATACCATCAGTAGGCCTGGGCTCTGGGTTGTTCTTCATGCTTTTGGAGTCCCTGACCCTCTGCTCACGATCATTAAGGACCTTCATGATGGTGAGCAGGCCCGGGTAAAACTACGTGGCCGGGAGTCAGAGCCATTCCCTGTACACCTTGGGGTGCGACAGGGATGTCCTCTGGCTCCCACATTATTTAACATCTATTTTGACCATGCAGTTTGTGAAGCCTTCAATAGCTGTACCGGGGGAATCTCCATCTGGTACAGATACAATGGGAGGCTGATCAATGCCCGGGTGCGGTGAAGGGATGGCTCCCTATTGCTCAACCACGTTATCTATGCCAATGATCTGGTAATTGCTGCTCACTCAGAGGAGGAGTTGGAGGTGCTGCTGCTGAACCTGGAGCTTGCCACCAAGAGGTGGGGCCTTACCATCAGTCCCACCAAAACTAAGCACCTGCCTAGTTATTTTGTACCGTCGGACACTCCACCCCCACAACTCCTAATTGGTAGGGCAGTTGTAGAGAGAGTGGAGTTTCCCATACCTTGGCAGTGTGCTCATGACCGGCTCCGGTTTAACAGCAGAGGTCTCACTCCGAATCAGTCGAGCGGCATTATCTTTTAATTCGTTGCGTAACGCTGTGTGGAAGCTACCTAGTCTCTCGCTCCACACGAAGCTCCAGGTCTTCTCAGCCACGGTCATTCCCTCCCTTCTCTACGCTTGCGAAACGTGGACCCCCCCTAATGGAACATCTTTGCCGGTTAGAAACATTTAGGCTGGCCTGCCTACCATCCATCCTGGGTTTAACCAGGCTGGATTGTGTGAGGCGCTTACAAATCCTTGAAAGATCTGGACAAAGTCCCATCGGTGAGCTCCTACGGCAGGCAAGGCTGCGTTGCCTGGACCATGTAGCCCGCATGCCCAGCCACCGCATGCCTAAACAGCTTTTGTTCGGCCGGATCGAGAGGGCTAAACGGGCGCGGCACGGGCTCGACAAGAGATGGAGAGGTGTGGTACAGGAGGATGTGGAGCTGAGTGGATTTGCCGATGACTGGTACCAGAAGTGTCAAGATCGGCCTCTGTGGAGGAGGCTCGTGAAGGACGCTACTGGGCAGTTGGAGGCAGTCGCCCTCCAACAACAACGGAGGGCGGAGGAGCGACGCTCACAACAACGAGCGGAGCGCCGGGTGTCTAAAGCACAGCAAGTTGGCACAGTAGGGGGCACAGGTGGTGCATCAGTCAGTCATCTCAGTCAGTTGACCCGTGGCACCTGGGTCTGCCCCGTGACCTGCCAGCGGGCGTTCGACACTTCACGTGGCCTCAAGGTGCACATAGCCTGGCACAAGCATCGTGGTGACGTCACCGCCACTTAGTGGCGAATGGCGGTTGTTGTTGTCTGTGTGTGAGTCCATATGTGTGTGTGTGTAAGTCGATGTGTGTATCTGTCTTTTTCGCCCGGGAAATGTTGGGTGCTTACCGCTAGTAATTAATAAAGTCGGCAGGAGGTTAAGTACTAGAATAACGGAATAAACATCAGGAATTTATAAACAAACAAGTCCGGCTTATAATTTTTTTTATTTATAACCGACAATTCCAGCTCAATTCACAGCAGCTTTGGTAAAATTTGTAGCGGTGACTTTGGATTCAGAACATATGAATTCGATACTGATAAATCACTTCAGCCAAAGTGCCAGTGACGTACGGTAAAATTATAATTATTTAGTTGTAATAAGCTGTTGTACATTCATATTTAAAATGTTTCATTTAATTTGAAAATAATATTGCACCCATATTGCATCTGGAAAATATTGCTTGGAATGATGGTGCAAGAAACGGGAATGTTTGCATGCTCAATTTTATGATTATACACGTTCTCAATACCGAGTTATCCCATTGTTTGGTTCCCATTAACCAAAATTGTTACACATTTCAGATAGTCATATCCAGTGCACTAATAAGTGAAGCCTCGTAATATAGTGTCTCCAAGCCGAATGAGCAGCGAGCAGTGCTCAACTGTGGTGGGAATTCCATGTTTTTATGGCAGAGGCCAGTTTGGTCCATAGGAAACCTGCTGTTGCCAGCTTGCAAAGTAATCGTTTTTGTATCAATTCCAGGGGGATGGCAGTAGATTGGGCTAACCCCGACTGAGATGTGATGTCATTACCCGTGGTGGCGTAAATCCCCAGCAAACCAAACAAATGCTGAGCGCCAAGCTTTTACGGTGGTATCAGATTCGTAAAAAAAAAACATGAAATATCAGCTGAAATTCACATCCTCATAAAAAAACAACGGCATTCTAATAACACTCCTAACATCTTAATGGCAATTCATCTATGACCTACATTATTTCATACTGTATATTTAAGCCACGGAGTTTATCGAGCATAAAATATTTGCAGTCACGTGACGCACCCAAAAATCATCGTTTAGAGGCCCGCGCTTGGCTGGCACCGCCGCTGCTCTGTGACCTTCGAACGCGAGTCAAGTGCTCAGCTACAGCGCCACCCGGCTGGGCTGTGGCAAAGTGTGATTGTGTATTGTTTTCAGCTCGTGTGACGTATCCTACGTTCAGGTTGCTGTTGTTGTGATTTATTCTTTGAATGTTTGCGTACGGTGGTGGTCATTGTGCAGATGGCACCAGAAGGGGTGGAGCGAGTCCTCATTGGCAACAAAGTGGACAGCGAGGAGCTGAGGCAGGTCGGAGTAGAGCAAGGCAAGAAGGTGACCCAATACACCCGGTGAACCCGCCCAGTCCGCGTCTTCATCATGTCTTACTGCGTGACAGTCGCCTTTTCGACCCATTCTCTATGGCCCTTGCTTCATTGTCATAAATTTCAAGCTTTTATAAATAGGGCCCTACATTAATAGTACCTAAAATTATACGTATTTTTCTGGTAAATATACATTTTATGGGTCTCAAGGAGGGGGGGGGGATTACCTACCAGTGATGCAAATCCCACATTGCAAACGTGGGCGGCAGCCTCTCCACAGAACCACGACTGGATCTGACTTGCACAAAGTCACGTGCGTTTTATAGATCCTGAAATTATAAAGGGGATAAATTGACCCCTAACTGGGAATTGGATTCGCAAGAGTCCGATCAAGTGCGGGGCAGCCTTGCAACATTGACAATTTCAAGAGGTGCTGTTTATGTGCTATATGACCAGCTGGTGTAGTGGTTAGAGTGCTCATCTATGTAGTGGTTAGAGTGCTCATCTATAGCCAACCGTGCTAATCAGAGGTGCAGGAAAAGGACAACAAACTAAACACAAAGGCAGTGCTTAAGAAAAAAAATTTCAATCTAGATGATTTAAAAGTGCATAGCTCCAGTGGCTTCCTAATATCAGAAGGAAGAGCTTCCAGACGGCCGCAGATGCAGATCTAAAAGCAATGCGATGCAGTGACCATCTTTGTTCGATGACTAGCCAAAAGCCGCTGCGAGGATGACTGGAGTTTGCGTGATGGTTTATGATCATTGACGAGATCTCACAAGTAGAAAGATGCAAGTTGAAAACCAAATGGGTAATTGACTCAGCCCATCATCCCTCTTGAGATGAATAAAATAGTGCACTGCACACGTCTAGAGCTTACATTGACTAAGCAACTGATTTAGATTTTAATTATGTTCTCGAAGTTGCTACAAATATAATAGGGCTCTACATTAATTCAAAACATTTCATCTGATAAATATCAATAAAATAGCATATAACAATTTTCAAGGTTCCCTGATCTAATAACCCGGAGTTCCATTGGTTTTATTCACAAACTAAATTGCTTTAAGACTTGTACTAAGCACGTAAACATATATACAGTAAAACCTTGGATTGCGAGCATAATTCGTTCCAGAAACGTGTTTGTAATCCAAAGCACTCGTATATCAGTTGTGATCACGTGACGCTCGGCAGACAAAGCGTATACGTACTACTCGTATTGCAAGACCTCGCTCGTTTATCAAATTAATATTTATTTTTAAAAATTGCTCGTCTTGCAAAATACTCGCAGACCAAGTTACTCGCAATCCAAGGTTTTACTGTATACGATTCCCATCATCGCAAACCAAGCAATTTGCCTCCTGTTGCACATGACGGTGAAGCCGACAGAGAGTGGACAGTGCTCTAGACAAGATCTTGGCTACGGTGATTTTCCTGTTCGCAAGCAGTGCCAGTTTTGGGTCACCATTACTGATCTCCTTTCAGCTTGCCAAAGAATACGGAATGGAGTTCTTCGAGACAAGTGCGTTCACAAACAACAACATCAAAGAGGTACAACTCCAGAGTGTGACACGCAATGCGTTTGAATGTAGCTGCTGCTCCTCGTCTGCTAGTTTGTATAATGATGCTGTGTGGTGCATCATTTGTGTGCACGTGGCCGTGAGGTCCGAATTCACTTTCATCCACTTTGCCCTTTCATTTGCATCACTGACATGACAGTCTCCATATATGATGTAATAATGTGAAGTGTGCTTCTTTTCCTACGGATGCTGGTTGTGGTTTCGGAAGGCTTGTTTACTATTTGCTCTTTTACCACATCCACTGCATTGTGCACTGCCTATTGCAATCCAAATGTATTTAGCGGGTGATATCCATGTCATCCTTTTGCCTATTTTAGGGATGTAAATATCTTATTCTTTGGGTCTTTTGGTAAAGCCACGTAGATAGAACAAATAATAAAATAATAACAATATCACGACGTTTCGATCGCAACACAAGCAATCATCATCAGGTGAAAAATATAGCGGGAGAGCTGCTGAGAATATATGGTGGGAGCGCTGTTAAGGCAGAGAGTTTTAAAGGTTTGAGATGGGTGTAGCCCAAGGGTCAGTGGACGGGGCTAGAGATGAAATTTGCATGTAAATGTAAGATCGGAGAAATCTTGACAAACGAAGCTGTGGGGGTGGCCATTGTATTGTGAGAGATTAGCATGTCAATGTAAGAAAGTTGCTTGTAAATGTAAGCTCGGAGAGAGCTCGGAAAGAGCCATTGCCACATGGAGGTATAAAAGGATGGCAAGCCGCAATTTACTAATACAGCTAACGGTGGCTGTGTTAGTAAATGTAACTTGGAGAGTCGAAAATAACTGCTAACATAGGTAGGTAGGGAGGGAACATCACAGCCAGTTATGACCTAAACTGGTTAATAACGTCCTTCCAATGATTGCTCAGTTTGTACCCATCTTCTCGGTTGAAATTGTGTCTGTGTTTATATATCTGGATGGCTTCATGAACGAATCTTTGCTGATAGCCAGTGGGCTTGCAGGGTACCTTCATCTTGGCAAAATCAATTTCGTGTGTGCCCAACAGTGTTAATATAATGATCAACCACGGCTGAGGTATTGGTCTTACCGTGTTTCAGATCTGCCTTATGTTCGCGAACCCGGTCCGAGATGTGTCGCTTAGTTTCTCCAATGTAACTGCTGCCGCAGACACAGCTTAGTTTCTAGACACCGGGGTATTGCATGTCAGGGATCACATCCTTCACAGATGGGATAAAATCACGAATTTTATGTACTGTGTTGAATCGTATCTGGATCTTGTGTTTGCTCATGATTTTGGAAATCTTTTTGGTGACCCCTGCTATGTATGGCAAGGTGATGGTTTTGATTGGGTCCTCAGATGGTTCTTTCCCAACGGTTGGGGTGATGGCTTTACGGATTGTGTCGTCTGAATATCCATTCTTCTTGAGGGCTTTGTGTACGTGCTCCTCAATGACCCTTGGGCTACATTAGTAAATGGCGGCTTGCCATCCTTTTCCACCTCCATGTGGCGATGGCTCTTTCCGAGCTCTCTCCGAGCTTACATTTACAAGCAAAGTTCTTACATTGACATGCTAATCTCTTACATTGACATGCTAATCTTGCACAATACAATGGCCTCCCCCACAGCTGCATTTGTCAAGATTTCTCTGATCTTACATTTACATGCAAATTTAATCTCTAGCCCCACCCACTGACCCTTGGGCTACACCCATCTCAAACCTTTATAACGCCCTGCCTTAGCAGGTGATATTGTTATTATTTTTATGATTTGTTTTATCTACATGGCTTTACCGAAAGACCCAAAGAATATAAATTCCTGCAGTCACGAAAGCTTTAAGTCATGTAAATATCTTGCCTATAATCAGTCTTAAGCAATGCCAGTGATACTGAAATACAGTATTGCAAAAGAGAGGAGCATAGAATTAAAGTACAACAATGGAGTTTGCTGCACTGCCCTATGTTGCTCACTACATAGCCCCACAACAGCCTACAGCAAGCTGCTTGTGCCTGCCGGTCGCCAGTCCAAGCACCAGGATCAACCCTGCTTAGCGCCCGAGATCTGATGAGATCGGACACATAGCAGGTGACTTGATCATAGGTCGTCATGCCTATGTGCATCTGTGTAAACACGTGTGTGTGTGTGTACGCGCGCGCGTGTGTATACGCGCGCGCGAACTGCCGCCCTGCAGGCTTTCACCAAGCTGACAGAGCTGGTGCTGAAGGCAAACAAGCAAGAGCTGGAAGGCTTGCGCTTGTCGTCCAGCGAAGAGGTCAGCCTGTCAGGTGACGAGGAGGTGAAGAAAGAGAAGAAAGAGCACCAACAGGAGAAGCAGCGGCCCTGCTCGTGCTGACCATGGCCGCCCCCTTGTGCGCACGTGCCATGCCTAAGGCACCGAGCACAGTGACGAGACGGTCGGAAGAGAAGTGCGAAGACGCCGCAACGGCACCGAATAACAGTGCCGGATACAGAGAACGTGTGGATACAACAGGGTAGCAGAGGCAAAACATCCCTGATGCAAACCTATAAGTGTCGGGCGCTCGGAGAATTTCTTTAATAGAAATGCTTGGACGGTGACAGCAGTGCTGAGAATTTAAAAGCACCGTACATGTAATGATGTTTAAGAGAGGGTGGGGGGAAGCAAGGTACATGCAAAACACTGATACAGGGAGCAAAGCAAATGAGATGCAAATATGCTGAGACAGCTAGACTTTCCGATGTTAACAAATGGGAACAGTTTCCCCACTTTGAACAATGGCATAAACAATCTGGGATGTGTGATTACAAACAAAAAGCACTGCCAACAACCATGTAGTCAACCTGCTATATATTTGTAGTTGTTTCTGTCCGTTCGTCCAAAGCCTCTTCCTACGAGGCACCCAAATCACCAAATACAATCCATGTGGGCTGGGTCATACCTTCATTAACTGGTCAAAGCATTGTACTTGGGAAATCATTGTCTTGGCGTCACCGACTGCATGGGCCATTAGCAATCGCAGGTCACTTCTTGTGTCCGTTGTTTGAGATAGTGCATTACAGATGAGGGTGACGTTTACTGGGAAGTGACTGTGTTTAAACGATTTGTTTACTTGATAATCATGTCCATTCATGTTGTTGGTGGGATGTCTGGAGCTAGGGACCTGACCGTAACATTTAAGACGGAGAAATGGTTTTTCCAATAATTTTAACCATAAAAAAATGAAGATTCAGAAGAAAAGCCAGGGGTTTCGTTTTTTGTTTACAGAGCTCAAATCAAATTCTCAATTCAACTCCTATAAATTTGCATCTGCTCATACTGTATATGCAGTCGTTTTTATATATATAAAAACACCTTAAACGGTTTAATCTTGAGCAACTGTAATTTATAACTTTATACAACAGCACATCTATTACATACAAGTATTGCTTTAAGCATATAGTAACATGCTTTTTTTTGTGTTGAGAGAAAAATGTTTATTTTTATTGCCTGGCCTGAATAAATCGATCTTTAAATAGTCACATAAGTCACGGTCTATCCACTGCTGGATGAAGGCCTTTCCAAGCCGTCGCCATTTCACACGGTCTCGTGTTCAATGCACATGAGCACATGTGATCGCTCCATCTCCGAGGTGGACCATCTCGAGCATGTTCCTTATTTCTGGCTGCCACTCCATTCTTAGTTTTGACCATTGATCATCAGCCCTGCTCCTTGACGTGTCTTGTGCAAGCTCACGCACTTTTCTCTAAGTTGTGTTTACAACTTGCATACATTCTCTGATCAATATGCTCCACTCGGCGTCTGCGTAAATTCCAAGAATTGCACCTCTCCATTCTTTCAGCTTTTGCTCCATTTTTTTCGCCATTGCCGCATATGTCATTATCTTATTCGTTGGATTAACCACGACACATTTAATGAGAACCCTTATCAAGTGGAATACATGATAGAGGTCGAAACAAAATATTAAATATTACCAGAACTTTTTATGGAAGCCCAAATATCAATCAGCAAGATTAATAAAATACTTAAATAATGATTTCGTCATAGATGTTTTCAGGAGGGTCCTGCCACGTTTTCACAGGAGTGGACGTTAACGGATATGTATACAGGATTCAAATGAGTAATTTAACAATACAGGAAGGGGGAAAATACATGGAACGGCATTGTCTTGAGTGGTGTATTATTATGCAATTGACAAAAACCGAGGCTATTAATGTCCCGGAAAGACTTACAGATTCCCCAAGATGGCTACCTCAAGAAGAGAACATTCTGGGAAAACCAAGATAGGCGGCAATTCTAGTTGGATGTTGGTACAGGTGGATTGCTCTGTTCGCTGCGTAATAAGGTGATTCTCATGCGCGTGATGAGCATGATAATCGGTATTTCCTCCTTGAGAGCATGAGATGCACGTTGAATGAGTAATCCCGACTGTGCGACTCGAGAGGCATGCATTCTACACTAACTGCGTCCTCTTTAATACTCTTGCAGCTATGGCTAGGGCATGGTTTCCAAAATCGTGGGTCACTTACCACCCCGTCTATGAGAACACATCTGCACCTCTACTGGACATCTGTGAAAAAGAGCTTTATATAGCTCGTCGGATTCCTCCAGTACGTAAGGTGCGAAAGAAGTTCAACATAGTGCATACAGTACATTGAATTGTTAGAAGGTGAGAGGCGAATATTTAAAAAAAATGCGAGGAAAGTGCAGGGAAATAGCATCAGCAGTCTGGTCACCACCTCAGAATTGAAATATACAAAGTTGTATTTGTTTATGACATCGTGACGGGGGAAGATCACGTGACCCCCCCCCCCCAAACTATGTTGCGAGAGGTCAAACGGGTCTGAACGTAATCAAGTGGTTGTGTGCCGTTTGAAAAACGTTTGTGGGTAACAGCTGAATATGTGTGTAACTTTGAGGTTGTGTACACCGTTCATATTTGTGTGATGTGTGATACGGATAGTGGAGTGCTTTTTTGACACCTTGTGATTAAGTTATAAACAATTCTTGTACATACAAACGTTCATGTTTTCTAAAAGAAATGTTTCTAACATGCACAGGTTTGAGAAATATTTGTTAGTTATTTTTAATACGTGAAAAATTCAAGCAGTTCCATTGTTACATTAAAAGGCCAATGTGAGCCTTGACAGGGTGAAACAGGAAGTTGTGACGTATCATTCGCGTCAACTTTTATAGACACTGGTGTGGGTCAATTTTATAACGTTTGGAAAACGAGGACCGATGGAACGTGGCACAAACTCGACTGCCTGCGATTTGAATGTGTGATTGATTAAGTAAAAGCTCGAAATTAATGTATGTTTCCACCCAATGTTTAAAAATGTGGTAAAACATGCTTTTGTTGTCTTGGATGATTGTTTTTTAAATGTAACAGGTGGTTCCGGATTGTAAAGAAGGATTAAAATGATGGAAATATCTTGAGTCACAATGGACTCAAGTAATTATTATTTTATTCACAACTGTCAGTTTTAATCCGATCAGTAAGCCGAAGTCGTGTGATTGTGTTGTCTGCAGTGGATGGAACCAGTGCTCGTAAAATCAAATCAGATCACAGCTCACAAAATTGACTTTAATCACGGTTCTCCACAGGCCCTTCGTTGTTATGCCATTTCTGAACAAAGGCCTCCCTATGCTTTGATAGTCACGGGGGTTGTTTGACCATACTTCCTCAGGCTGGTCACAGCAGGTTGGTGAGAGCGGTGGGGGGGGGATGCAGGACGAAGGAAGGACAACTTCGATAAAAGCTAGCCAGTGATGTTAGCCACGGCTGGAAATGTAACGCGGGCCACGGGGCTCAAAGTGTGGGCACCACTGAAACCACCCCCATCCCCACAGGACTGAATTAGGACGCGTTGGAAACTGATGGACGCTTGTGTTGTGCCCGAAGCGTCGTGATTTATTTTATTTTATACCTACGTGACTTTACCGAAAGAACCAAAGAGTATGGATTCCTGCAGTCACGAAAGCTTCAAATCAAGATTGGTTGAGTAAAGCCATTTATTCAAATGTTGGCCAAATTGGCACTTAGGAATATCCACAAATTAAATGTTGTATCCCCTCCAATTGCCCGTCACAATTAATCTGATTCATACAAAAATGTGGATGGAAACATTACCGGGGTTTTACCTAAATATATTTTTTGCACAAATGGGGGTTGTGGGTCTCTAATTTGTGAAAATACTGTGAACGTAATATGAAATGGAGGCAAATGTGCTCCTTATAAGCCCTTCTACACTATTCCATACTTTACCAATCAGGTTGGAAAAGTAAACTTGTGGTTGTCGATTATTTTGATTTAAAACATTTTCAGGTAGGAGCATTATTGCATATCATCTAACAGAACGGGGAAAGTACAGCATACAGTGTAAAAAAATACATAAAATGAAAATGGCATCAATAAATTACAATGTGCGGAGTGTCGGGCTTATCTATGTTCATGGTTATTTTTAAGGTTAGCCATGAATCCCTTGCAGAATATATCTCATTGGGTTCTCACCTGATTGAGAAAGGAAATCGATGTTTCCTTGGCTTTAGTTTCCACACCCTCCACGAATCGGATATATCACATCCGTGTGTGCACAACGGACACATGACAAGTCCCCCCACCCCCCTGCCAAGGTAAACCACAAATGGTACCTCCTGAACCTTAAACTTGTGGATTTCCTCGTTCTTAAAATGTTTATAAAATGGGCGCAACCTACCTAGGCAATGAGCAGGTGAGATCGTGCCTCAAAGCACGTTCGGGAAAACGCGGTAAGTAGCTTACGACATCACGGCAGCTCAGGTATTGGTGGCTTAGAGCCAATGGCGGAGCCATGATTTTCAGGTAGGGGGGCAACCCCTCCAGCAATGAAAAATGATAGAGGAGTTGTTCGTAAGTAAGGACTTGTCCCTTTTTATTCGACGCGAGTGCGCGGATGGCGCAACCATCGATCAAGGGTCGAATTCGAACCGCGTTGTGATCTGCATCGCGCTCGCTGAAGGTGAATGCCTTCAGGGAAGTCGTGTACTGTATACGCAACTGCGCACAATTCTGAGTCACTTATAACTGCTTTGCCGTTACTTATTACCAATTATGGGCTCAGACTATTGTCCGATCATCTCATGGAGTCCCTGGCACATCATAAAATCCTACACAGTGGCAATGGGGGTCGCAAAATGCCAATGTATTACTAATAAACCCCAATGATCCGATCGAAATGAGGGATTTAGATCGGATCATTGGGAGGGGGGCACGTGCCACCCCCCCCCGCCCCCCCACTGGCTCTGCCAGTGCTTACAGCAGCTGATGTGTTAGACCACACGAGCATCCCTTCAAGCACATGACATGCACAATCAGCACTTCACATGCCCAAAGGTCACTTGCATGATTTATAGAGCTATTAAAGGGCCTGTGCCACAGTCTTCCCACGACGGAGGACTTAGTAGAGACTGCTTGCCTTGGGGTCAAGATAAGGTGGTTAATGCAGTGACAGCAGCATCCTTGTCTGGGAGTAGCAGAGCCTTGCACCGAGTTTACTCTAAGCCAGCCGTGACATCAGCTGGCCATAACAAGACACCGAAGAGACAGCCCCTTGCCTCTGCAGCATCTCAAGCGGCAATTGGCGAGGCTCACAATCCGCAGCCAGTCCAAGCTACACAAAGTGGGGGTAGCAGAAGGCCAGTGAGAAGAGTTAAAGTCTATAATAAAGGTGTATTGGGTTAGATCGTGTAATATATATTTCGTGACAAACCTTTGTTTACATGACAAACCTTCCTAATTGGCCGTGTCGGGTGGTGGCAGCTTTAACGACACATTTACACGCTCTAACCCAAAAAAAACATTAAGAATATTGGTCGCGAGAGTAAAGGTGTGTGGGCCTCTGCGCTGACGGACTTAGACTAAAAATCGACCCAGGCATGTGTAAACACATCTGCCCAAATTCGGGCTCTGGACAATTTTTTTTTTAAACTAGAATTTCCGCAGCTTGCGGCCGCTTTACTATAGCTTTTGCAAAGAGGGCTTCTCGCCGCTTCGCGCCTCGCTCGTCGCCCCCACTGATGTCCTCTTCGCCCCCCATGTGTGCAGATACTACTGACTATTGTATGTAGGGTGTGTAGTAGATACTACTGACTTGTATATAGGGGGTGTAGTAGATACTACTAATGTATATGTAATGTAGCCCTCAGAGACACCGTCTTGTCTTCCGTATATTTATTATGAACTAGCAGGAAGTACCTGGCGTTGCCCGGGTCAAAAAGACAGACACAAATCGACTTACACACACTTACATACATCGACCCACACAAACACAGCGACTTACACACACACACATATGGACTCACACACACAGACATCGACTTTAGCTACACACACATGGAGTTACACATATCGACGTACACGCATACAGCGACTCACACACACATACATAGACAACCACACACATCGACCGAAACACACATGGACTTACACAAAACATCGACTCTGACACACACATATCGATTGACACACACATTGACTCGCACACACATATGGACTTAAGCACACACTTGGACTTACACAACAACCGCCATTCGCCACTAAGTGGCGGTGACGTCACCACGACGCTTGTGCCAGGCCATGTGCACCTTGAGACCACGTGAAGTGTCGAACGCCCGCCGGCAGGTCACGGGGCAGACCCAGGTGCCACGGGTCGACTGACTGAGATGACTGGCTGATGCACCACCTGTGCCCCCTACTGTGCCAACTTGCTGTGCTTTAGCCACCCAGCGCTCCGCTCGTTGTTGTGAGCGTCACTTCTCCGCCCTCTGTTGTTGTTGGAGGGCAACTGCCTCCAACTGCCCAGTAGCAGCGTCCTTCACGAGCCTCCTCCACAGAGGCCGATCTTGACACCGCTGGTACCAGTCATCGGCAAGTCCACTCAGCTCCACGTCCTCCTGTACCACATCACTCCATCTCTTCTCTAGCCCGTGCCGAGCCCGTTTAGCCCCCTCGATCCGGCCGAACACACACAAAACATCGACGCACACACATACGCATCGACTCGCGCATACACACAAGGCGATCGTCGCTGACACGCAGATGGACTGACACGGACACAAGGATATTGGCACACACATACAAAAGCAAGTAAAGTGTGAAAAATTTGTTGTCTGCACACAAACATATTTATTTGTATAAATGCAAGGTGATTATAAAAAAAAAGATGTTTAATGTACATAAGTTTAGCGTGTGACTTGGTACGGTCGATAGCGCGCCATTTAATACATAAATAAACGCAAACTGCACAAAATCGCTAATTAAAGTAATTTATAGTTGACGGGTGTGAACCCCACCTTTGGAGAGCCAAGCGCGTGACCACACACAAACCCTGCCACAATTTTTTACTTTTTTATATATATAAATTCCACTGACAACTCAACAAGTAACCACGAGTGACTCTATACACTGGGGTAGTTAGACAACTCTATTCAGAGACAACATAGCTTCTAGTCTCAAGACAACTCGCAGACGATGGAGACGACCCGTTCGAAGGCGACGACGATAACAACGACGATTCTCCACATCAACAGCCACCAGCTCCGGCTCGTGCCGGCTCTTAAGCCTCGCCCGGTCCGGCCACGCCCCTATTCTCGAATTCTCCTCGCCGCACCTGCCCTGTCACTCACCGCCCTAATTACACTTCCCCCGCCATTGGATCCCGTGCTCCCCCTCACGTGACTCTATCAACGTTTGTCTCATCAATCATCATTAGCACGTCCATTAGTAACCATGGTCCTGGGGAACCATACTGTCCCCCTATCGCTCTGTACTGTAGGTATATATGCCTACAAAAAAAATGGGAGTGAAATCTTTTTTGGGGGGGTCGACAATTTTTGTAAACCTGTTGGATAAACGTATTATACCCCCACGTCCACTTTCTATATATTTTTTAATTCAGGCCTTCTGAAAGGCTCTCATAAATTAGTTGATGAACAAACGGAACGCCGGGCTTTTATAATAGTTGTGTTTATCCGAAAAACTATGTAGTTACTAGTAGCTAGATTTCCAATGTGACGTATAAGCGTGATTTTGCCGTGCGATCTCAGTGGCCCATTTGGGCTGGGTCCAAAAAACAAATGGGTCGGTGAGAAAAGAAACCTTTGGGGCTGCCGAATCTAGGACAATGCCAACTGAGAGCATACATAAGCAATGAAGCGTACACAGCGGTAATTAAATATTTGTATTCAAAAATGTACTCTAATAACATTTAGAAATTTCCCTAAAAAGACCGGCCCACCGGGCATTTGCCCTCTGGACTGCTGCCCCTATGGGCAGTCCAGGCCTGCCCCTGGGGCCCCTTCAAGCGATTCCCGTGTCCCCAAACAAGACACCAAATTGTGTGAGGAGGTTGCAAGCATAGTAGGCCCCAGCCAGGGATAAGGGTACCAAGTGGTTCTACATGGCAGGCCAGGTCCGGCTGGTGCT